TTCATAATAATAAAAAATAACATCTTTAATAAAATTTTATTCGTTATAAGATCTCAGAAGTTGACTTTCTTTTACTTGATGACTCTTTCTACAGCTTGTTTAATTTATTTATTTATTGAATTCTCTAACTGTTTATATCTTTAGCTCTCTAAGTAACTTTATATTTAAATTTTTTATTTATAAGTCTATCTCACTAATATACATTCTAGTGATACTCTAACTTCACTGCTAATATATTAAATTTTTTTTTTGAAATCACTGTACTGCATTCTTCTGATATTTTATCTTTAGATATTTATACTTTTGATTAAACTAGATATTAATTCTTTATGTTCAGTTATATTTTTTGCTTTATTAATTAGATATATTTTATAGTTATATCAATACTTCTCAGATTTATCAATAATATATATATATATTAATAAATTTTTTTTAATTTATTTACAAACGCAAAGAGATAATTTTAATGATTAAAATTTCTCTTTAATCATTAAAGCTTTTGATCTAATAACTTTTTTTAATTTTTTAAAGCTTATTTTTAAAGCTTTAATACATTTTTATATAAATCTCAAGTCAATAAAAATAAAATAATTTATTCAAAATCTACTTATAATATTATAGAAATGATATATTTATTGAAAGTTATCTTGATATATTCAGTATCAGCTTGTTTATGTTCAAAGTTCCTATTGCAACTATCTGACTTAAGAAGAAAACTTCTCTCAATTTTAATTTTTTCTCAATTTAATAATGACAATCTCAATATCTACTTTTTTCACTTTTATCTTTTCCTTATATAAGCAACTTTATATCATATGACTTTTTGATTTAACAGTTAAAGTATTTTACATTTTTTATTCAATCTTTATTTTTTAATCTATTTTTAGTTACTTATAATAGTGTGACTGATATTAATTCATAATTACTTCTTTTTATAGAAGTATTTTTATAATTACTTTGAGTCATAGAAGTTTCTTCATAATTATTTTAATATTATTTTTAATTATTATTATTTGATAGTTATCAGATATTTTAATTATATATACTATTAAAATAGTGAGTAGTTAGAGTATATATCTCTTAAATTTTATAAAAAATGATATAATTAATATAGACTACTATAATTATATATTAAAAATTAAAAAAAAAGTTTATAAAAAAAGTTTACTTTATAATTTTTTTCTTGAATCTGAACTTCATCAGTCAAATATAAGAATTTGATCATAAATATGTAAGAGTTATTCTCATTTCTTATTATTAACTGTCAGCATTTTATTTTTATATTTTTAAGTTTATTAACTTTTATATATATTTTTTACAAATATTTAAACACTTTTTTTATTATTTTAAACTTCTCAGAATAATTTTCTCTTATTTTTAAGACTAAATATCTTGTAGCTTTATTCTTTATTTAGTTTTCAATATAAATAATACAGCTCTATTTAGTTGAAAAGTGATCAGTATTGACAGCCGGCTTATATTTTATTTATTAAAGTATTATTTGAATATTAGTTCTTTTTTATCAATGAGATACTTTGTATGATAGTATAGAATAAGTGAGCTTTGTCCAGTCTTCTCAATAGTGTAAGGTTATAGGCTGAGGCAATTGATAATCACAACTGTCTAAATATTAATATAAAAATCAATTTCATAATTATTTTATTCTACTTTAAAGATTAATCTATTCTGATTTTTAATTATCTTATTATATTTAGCTATTTATTTATTTCATATTTTATTTCTCAGTTTAGTATTCTTATTGCAGCTATTTAGTTAGATAAATATATTCTAATTCTTAGTTTAGTATTTTTATTATAGTTATTTAATTAAATACATAAATTAAAACTTTTATCTTATAATTATTTTGATTCTAGTAAAGTTATAATAGTTAAATTATAACTTAATTAAATAGATATTATAATTTTTAACTCTATTTATTTAAAATAAATAATAATAATAATAATAATAATATCTAGAAAAAATTTAAAATAAACTTTTTAATAATTATAAAGAAAATAAAAACTATCTCTAGAAAATAAAATTTAAATTAAATAAAATATTCATTTAATTTATATAAATTTAAATAATAAGTGAAAAATAATTTCTGTTAAAATTTGTTCTGATTAGAGATAATTTCTTTTATTATCATTTTGAGAAAATAGAATATATATTTTTCATTTAAATCAATCTGGTTGCTATTATACAGCAGTACTGTGATGATGTGATATACTGCATTCATGTCCTGTACTGTTCTTCTCTTATATTTCATATAATGCTGCAAGTGTGCTGTTGCTTGCCATACTGCGTATATACCCACATGAAGTATTATTCCCCATTCTTTTTGCGGGATGGCACTACCGCTATAGTGCGGGCCGATCCGAGAGACTAGTGCAGCGATGAATTAAGTTGGCAGGCGCAAGTGACCTTATTCTCAAGCCCTAAAGTATCTTTTTTGTGGAGAGCCCGCGCAAGCGCGCCAATCAACTTTAATGCTGCTGGTTTGGCTTGGTTTGCATCGACCCGACTTGATCAATCCCAATACCCGTAAGCAAAGAGTTATTGCCGCATAGTTAATTATCAGAGAAGATGTTATTCCATTTCTAACCACACCACTTGAAATGTTACGGCTTCTATCCAGATGCAGATAAACTGATGTGATTGTCAACTAGGTAAGCTATCTCAAGGAAATACTAAGATGCTCTACGACACAGGGGCTTGGGGAAGCTTCTGTTTATATACCCCTTTTCCACTAGCGGTTGCTATGCCGTTGCTAGGAAGTTTCTGTGGGGTATTATTTGTGTACGGGGTAGTTGTTTGCGGGGTGGTTTCTAGACCGTTGCTAGGCAGTTGCTATTACCCTTTTCGGACAATGCCAGTTTCCGTAGCCAGTAGCCATACACCGTCATAGCGCCGTCACATGAAGTAGCTTATCTTGGCTTAGTAGTTTAGACAAGCTGATTTTAGATATTAAGCGCATTCACACCAAAGATAGGAGTCTAAGTTTATATGGTAACATACAGTTTAAAATTGGCTCTGCTTTTGAATAGACTATGTCAATTTCTTAAACCTAATGAATAAGGTTACACTAGTTCCAATGCCGCAAGCCCAACGATAACCCCTGTTCCTGAAAGTTGCCTTGTATGCTAGTTACTGAAGAACTTGACCAAGGTAAGAACTCTTGTACATGTACACTCAGTGAATCAGCCTCTTCTCATGATACTCATACCTGCATCTCTCCACAAACAGGATCAACCTCCTTCAATCCCGGTTAAGCACGGCGGTGTGACCAGGGAGGAGTGGCTGGTCAAAAAGATGCTGGACTCGCGAATCCGCGTGTGAAGGGGCAAGCCAATTCTGAAGTACCGCATCGCGTGGGAGCCTACCTGGGAACAGTGGAGTGCCCTGGTTCCAGGTTGTGAAGAGTTGATCAAAGGATTTCATGTGGAATGGAAAGGCCTGCCATCATTGACTTCTCTGTTGGGTTACAGGCACTTCAAGCAGAAGTACATGTGATGATGAAGCAGAAGAGGAACAATGAGAAACAAACTGATATAAATCAGATAGTACATATTGAGCAGGTTAAATAACATAAGCAATACTTATTCATCATATTAAAGCAGGCTAACTAATACAAACATTACTTATTTATCATAACAGAGTAGTCATTAAACATATTAAATTTCAATCAGCACTATCACATCATCATACACTTTAATAATAGAATCATAAAGTATTTTTGAGTCTTGTGATGTTTCAACAATAATTTCTTTCTTTTTAAAAGAAAACAGCATATTTTGTATGATCTTGTAGAGAGATTTAACACACTTCAATTTTAGTAAAAACTCCTGAAGAAGATATTTCAATTCATTAGCTTGCATGTCATTTCATTTAATTTTTGTAATTTTCATATAAGTTTCAGTATATCATTCTCTCAGCAAATTGCTTGTAGTAAGATATGTGTCTGTCTCTGTCTCTGTAGCTTATTTAATCTTTCTCAACTATGACAAATATACTGTTAGATAAGCACATAGAGGAAAAACTCAAGATCATATCAATAAGTATGATCAACATTAAGAAACACTTCAATTGTCAGTAACTTCTTTATGTAATTCTGATAGTGTGCACTGCTTTGCTCACTTTTAACTTCTTTGACAAGATTTAAATCAATTAACATGTCAAAGAAACTATTTATCTTTTTAAAATTGATTATTAATATATTATTTTTTAAAATATTGTGATGAAGAATGTTTTCATTCAGATAAAAAGACTAATATGTCTTTATTGCATCATAAAATGTCATAAGTAGTTTCAAGAGTGATTTGTACTTGTAGATTAATCAGCCAGTAGATGATATCATCAGACTATGAAGAATATAGTTTTCATAAAATTTCTTATTATGATGTCAAGATTTTCTATATTAGCTTTTTGCTCTCACACTGCTTATCTTACACTGATTATTAAAGCACTTTAGAATCAACATCTTCTAGAGAATTAACATTATTTCAAAATTTAGCATATGATCAGCACAGATCAGCACTTTTTAAAAATCAGTTCTTTAATATCAGTACTTTCTGAAAAATAAAACCAGCACTTCATAGAGATTTAGATTACTTTATTGCTAATTTTTTATTTTATAAAAGATTAGAGATAAAATTTATTGCTACTTATTTATATATATAAATACTTTGAATTGTCAAAGTTTCTTCAATAAATTTAGTGATTATCTACTATTTAATTTTATATATATATTTCATTTATTGTTATTTTCTTCTTTTTATAGCACTCATAGTATCTATATATCTACTCTATTATAATTTTAGTTATAGAGCTTTTTACACTTTCTTTTAATATTTAGTTTATCTACTTTAATATCTTCATACTTATCATTTCTGTTAAAAAGACTTAATTTATATATTAATTAAATGAAGAAAATAGATTTATTCTTCCACTGAGAGATTTTAAATAATTGATTGATAAAATATGATTAATTAAATATCTGCATCTTATTGTCTGAATATCTTTATTTTTTGAAAAATGATTTTTAATAAATATTTAAGTAACAGGATTTAGCAAATAACTGAGATTAATAAAATGAGAAAACTATACTAAAGAATATATTATTGAAGTTATAGTATTTGCTATCAAAGATCAAACTATAGTATATATTATTAGAGAGTGAATATGAGCTGTATAAGAAGGAAACTCTCTGCATTGATAACTGCTATGCAATAAAAATACTAAGGTTGATAAGGAAAAAGAAGTGTTAAGATCTGCTCAGATTATAAATAGCCTATATAATCCTATGACCAGATCATGACCAATCTACTAGATTATATATAGGGTATGACCATATGATGGAAATAAATCTAGCCCTGGCACTGAGTCTAATATTACTCTCTGATCTAGAAACAAGAATGCCCTCATACTAGGAGATTATTATTATTTTCATCTTTCAGATAGCTGTCTGTCTCTCATACTCTTATCCATTTCTCTAGATATTTCAGTGATCTGACTTTAATAGAGTTAGCTTCATGAAAATTCTATATTGTATATGATGATCTCTTAAAGTCATGAGCAGAGTATCATAAAGAATTCTTATCAAATCTCTTTTAGTATATCTAATACTGGAGCTTGCTCTGACTTATTTGACTGATCAGTATATAATTTATTTCTTATTTATTCTCACTGTTTATTTTAATTGAGTCTGATGTTCTGACAGTTTGATCAGGTAGAGAATCTCTGAAGTCTTTACATAGCTTGTCTGAGAAAAAAATTAAATGAATTTTCATTATTGCATGAAGGTTCAGTTTGTAGACATTGCTCATTTTTTTCAGAATTCTGAAAAGACTGAGATTCTACTCTGTCAGTTTACAGCTTGATTAATTCATCTTGTATGATTTTAATATTAGATAAATAAAATCTTCTACTATATAATTAGACTTTTGATGATACTTGTTAGTTTGCTTTTTCATCTATTCTTGTATTATTATTATATCTTTATTTATCTAGTTTCGGATCTCTCTTATTTAGTGAATAAAGCTTTTTACTATTTCTTAATTTCTTTTCTCATTCATATTCAATTTCTCTGCCAGTAATTGTCAATCAAATGACATTCAGAGTTCATATTCATTTATTATGAGAAAGAAGAACATCTCTGTAAAAGTATTTGAGATAGCTGCAAAGATATAATCTAAAATAAGTAGTCACTCATCTCAGTCATCTTGATAATAACTGATATAGAGATAAAGATGAGTGATAATATATTGATTTATCACTTCTGTCTGTCTATTAGTTTGTGTATGATGTGCTATTGAGAGTTTCAGTTTTATACTCAGAATTTGTATAAACTCATCTTAAAAGCTTGATACAAACTGAGAGTCTCAGTCAGAGACAATTGAGTCAGATGCTCTATTGTATGAATAATAGAATTGAATGAATAGTCAGATCAGCTCCTAGGCTATAACTTTTCAGATAATTGAAATAAAGATTATCTTCTTGCTTAGCTGACATACTATAATCAAGATGACATCATAATCTATTTTGCTTTTTGACACATTTATGAAGTTCATTACAATATGCTATCATGCTTATTCTGATATTAATAATGACTTTAGCAAATCAGAAGTCTTATCTCTTGAAATTTTACTGATCTCATATATATGATAGTTTTAAATGTAGTGTAAGATATCTGTCCACCAGATGACTCATTAATAATATGATTGCACTAGGGTCAAAGTCTTTTATTCTTCAGAATATGCTGTTGAAGCTTGATTATAAATTTTTTGTAGTAGTTCAGCTATCAGAGTTTTCTTTTTCTAAATAGATATCACTAGTCTTTCATTGTACTATAGCATATTATCTTTCATTATATAGGAACTATTTTTATCATCTGCCTACTACTGTAAAAGCTCAATTGAGATGATTATTTTATTTAAAGATACTATACATTCAGCAATATTCTCTTCCTCTGAGAAGTTGATACTAGCAATATTCATAGAAGAAGTGATTTAAGAATCAAGAGTCTCTGATTATAAGAGAATCAATATATGACTATTCTGTTATCTTTTAATCTGCTCAGACCTGCTCAATGCATTTGCTAGTAAATTGACCTTGTTTGATCAATACTTGATCTCAAAGTAGAAATGAAAAAGAAACTCTGCTCAGTAAGCTTGATATGTATTCAGCTTCTTAATAGTCATGAAGTATTTCAGTGTACAATGATCAGTGAAAATCTTGAATTGTTTTTTCTGTTATAGTCTCTCAAGCTCTGCTTATTATTCTTGTAAAACTTAGATCACTGTCAGTATTTTCTTATCATGAACTTTATATTTAAGCTTTACATTATTTATTGACTTTAAATAGAAGACTACTGAGTATTAAATATTATTTTCAAATCTTTAATTTAGTATTTTAGTCACTACTTCATCAGAGACATCAGTTTCAATACAAGTCTTCTACTCAGAGTCATAGTATTGCAGTGTTGAAGTCTTTACCAGCTGTCTTTTGAATTTTTCAAAGATTGATTTTTATTCTAATATTCATATAAATGAGATAGTCTTCTTTATCAACTGATATAGTGGTTTTGCAATTCAGCTATAGTTTTTTATAAATTGTTGATAGAAATTATCAAATTCTAAAAATAATTAAACTTCTCTAACTATAATGAGAATTTATCATCTCACAATGATAGCTGTTTTCTCTAAGTCTGCCTCAATTCCTTCTGTGCTGATGATGAACTCTAGATATTTTGTTCTCTGAACTGCAAACTCATATTTCTGAATACTGGCTTGTAAATTAGCTGTTTTTAGTCAGTCTAGCACTGAATTTATCTGCTGCTTATACTTCTTCAAATTCTTGCTATAGATTAGAAGATTATTTATAAATGCTGTCATAAACTTATCCAGATAGTCAAAGAAGATACTGTTAATAAATTGTTGAAAGCAGGTAGAGGTATTTGTAAGGTCAAAGAAGACCACCTAGTATTTATAAATCCTGTAGTGAGTTCTAAAGATAATCAGATCCTTAGACTCAAGGTCTATTCAGATGTGATAAAACTTCTGCTGAATGTTCAACTTGAAAAAGTATTTTACCTCATTGAGTCAGTTTATCAGCTCATCTATTAGAGGCAAAAGATACTAATCTTATTTGATTATAGCATTTAGCTTATAAAAATCAACATAGAATTGTATCTTCTTCTCACTACAGACAATCAGAATTGAAGAGGCATAGAGAGCTAAACTTAAAATGATCAAGTCTTTTACTAGATTAACTTTGAAATAGATCTTCACTGCCTTTAGTTCCTCTAGATTCATCTTATATAGAGGTGCATGTTCAATGCTCCAGATGAGGTCAATGTTAGGCTGAAGCTCTATTTTAAAATCAATGTTCTTCTATAGGGGGGGTAATTCATCTGATGCTTTCTTTGAGAAATAGTTTTCCTGGCCTTTCAACCATTCTAGTAAGTTGTAGATTAGCTTCTTATCAGACTCATTCTCAACTCTTATTAAACTCTACTTCTCCTCAAGCTGTTTATCAATTTCATATAGACTGGTTATAAAGATTATTGAGTTCTTGTTCTTCATATAATTATAAAAAGAAGTAGTCTCAATAAAGTTTATATTCATTATCTGTGATGCTATCTCTGCAGCTGCCCTTGTACTATTCACAAAGAAGCCTGGGAGTGGGCTAAGATTCTGTGTGAACTATCAAGCTCTTAACAAAATCATCTGAAAGGATTGATATCCTCTACCATTAATCAGTGAGACTTTATAGTGAATTAGACAGACTAAATGATTCACTAAGCTGGACATTATTGCAGCTTTTCACAAGATTTAAATCACAGAAGCTGATGAGTGAATGACAGCCTTTAGAACCAGATACAGACTATTTGAGTGGCTGGTTACACCCTTTGATTTGGCCAATGCTCTGAGCACATTTCAAAAATATATCAACTGGGCATTATGTGGATATCTGGATGACTTTTACTCAGTCTATTTAGATGACATCTTGATATTTTCCTCAAGAAGCTTACAGGAGTATTGTAAGCATGTACAAAAGATACTTATGCATCTATAGGAAGCAGGCCTGCAGGCAGACATCAGAAAGAGTGAGTTTGAGGTGAACAGCACAAAATATCTTGAATTTATCATTGAAGTAAGCAAGAGTATATGAATGGATCTGGAGAAGATTAAAGCTGTTTTGGAATGGGCAACACCTACTACTCTTAAAGATATATGAGGATTTTTAGGCTTTGCCAATTTCTATAGATAATTTATTAGGGATTTCTCAAAGATCACAACCCAACTGACAATTCTTACATGCAAGAATATTCCTTTTTTGTGGATGAGCAAGGCTGAGAAAGCTTTTAAGTGTCTAAAATCAATGTTTATCTTCACTTCAATTCTGCTTCAATTCAACTCTGACTGTGAGACTATATTGAAAACAGACTTCTCAGATTACATCTCAGGAGAAGTGCTGCTACAATATGATGAGCAGAGCATTCTACACTCATGTGTCTTCTTCTCTCACAAGCATTCATCTGCGGAATGCAACTACAAGATTCATGATAAGAAGTTATTAGTGATAATTGAGTGTTTAAAGAAATGAGACACTGAGCTACAAAGTGTAAAGAAATTCAAGATTCTCACAGATCATAAGAATCTAGAATACTTCATGACTACACACAGACTAAATAAAAGACAGCTATGTTGAATGAATATTCTCTATCAATTCAACTTCAGAATTGATTATCAGTCAGAGAAGTTGAACACTGAACCAGACATCCTATTGTGAAGAGAGCAGAACATGTCACAGGGTGCTGATGATGAGAGAATCAAGCAGAGGCAAGCTCAACTACTTAAGTTTAATGTACTGGCATCTGAAATGAAATCAATAGTGACTACTGCCAGCATGAAACCTGAGATGTCTCTTCAAGCTCAGTGATATGAGGCCTGCAAAAATGACAAGATCCTGCAGTATCTGAAGCAAACTCTTCATGAGAGAAGATTCAGATTTCCTTCTGAACTTGGCATTAAGGCTTTCATCTCTGAGTGCTCTTTAAATGAGAACAGAGAGCTTCTCTTTCAAGATCATAAGTGAGTGTCAGACTTCAAACCTCTTTGAACCAGGTTAGTGTATGAGGCTCATGACTCACCTCTTACCAGTCATCCCAGGTGAGAGCAAACAGCAGGAGTTCTAAGACATGAGTTCTACTGGTCAAGCTATGCTGCTGATATGAAAAGAATGATCAGAAACTGTCATCTTTGCAGATCAAACATCACATGGAGAGATTGATATCAGGAACTACTTAAGCCTCTATTTATTCCTGAACACATGTAGCAGGAGCTTTCCATGAACTTTATCATGAACTTATCAAGCTCTAAAGAATACACAAACATCATGATTATAATAGACAGACTGATCAAGAGAATTATATTAAAAGCAGTTAAGAAAACTAATGCAGAGACAATGGCTAGAGTATTTCTTCACAACATCATCCCTCAACATGGCATCTCTAAGGCAGTAGTGTCAGATTAATAGTCAGCTTTCACAAGCATGTTTTGAACTCAGGTGTGTGAGAAATTAGACATTAATAGATAACTCTTCATAGTCTATCACTCAGAGACTGATGGAGCTACAGAGCAAATGAATCAGACTCTGAAAATCTACCTATGCAAGTACATTAGCTTTCAACAGAATGACTGATGTGAATGACTCCCTTTAGCAGAGCTGACTATCAATAATAGAGATGCTGTCTCAATGGATGTGAGCTTATTCTTTTTAATGCATCTTTTCCATGTCTCCTCCATTGATATAGCTGATGCACCCCTCATTGAAACATCACATAATCTCATTGAGTTTGCAGATGATTACATGAGAAAGGCTCATGAAGTGTTGAAGTGAGCTCAAGTAAAAATGACAGATGCTCAGCAATCTCAAGAGAAATATGTAAATAGATGAAGAGACTCAGCTTCAAGCTTTCAACCTGGAGATAAGATCTGATTGAGTTTAGAGAACATAAGAACTAATCATCTGTGCAAGAAGCTGAACATGAAATACAATCAATATATCATGCTAGAAAAGATAGAATTTCATACTTACTAACTGAACATCTCACCTGACATTCACAATGTCTTTAATGTAAAGCTTCTACATGCTGCAGTGACAGATCCCCTGCCTAGTCAGAGGCAAACTGACTGACAGCCACCCACTATAGAGATCTCAGAAGAACCTGAGTTTGAAATTGAGGAAATTCAGAGTGAATCTATCAGAGAAAAAAGCAATACCTCATTAAATGGGTAGGTTAAGCTGAGCCTATGTGGAATGACATAAGTCTTCTACAAGAAGTGAAGACCTTGAACACTTGGGAGGCCTCTCAGCAGGCAAAATTAGATGTAAAGAGGGCTTTAAATAGTTGTAAAGGCCCGCAACAAAGAGGGAGAAGAGGGGTATTATAAGAGGTTGAACCCCTAGATTTGCTCTGGCTGACTGACTCAGCCTAGCCATTGTTTGCATGTGCGCACATGATCATGCTACGCGAGCTTGCTTAAGCTCAAGTTCTCATCTCATTCTTTTCTTCCCTTTCTCAAGCAATTCGTCCTTGTTATATAGGAGGACTAGCCTCTAGTTCTTAGAGCTTAACCCTTTACAGAAGCTCTCATTAGCTTATTACATATAAACAGATGATTAGACTGAGATTGTCAGTTAATATCTGGCAATCAAGCTCTATTTATATATAAACTACAATCAGAACAACTGAAATAAATGATTATTAATAATGAACTATATAGCTAAACTCTAAAAATAAATCAACTAAAATAATATTTTTTTTAACTATCTATGAATATAAATCTTAAATATTTTTAACTAAAAATTATTATTAAAGATGTTATCTAGAAAGAAAAGACTCAAATAAAAATATACTAAATGACATATTTTTTAAATAAAAAAATCTAAAAGCTATCAGTTAATAATGTAAAAAAGATATAAAAAATCATGAAATAATAAGTTAATAAATATCATTATAAGTCAAACTTTGAAATAAAAGATAAAATCTTTCTATCACTTAAGAACTATAGAATTCAATATCTCAGCAAGAAGTTTATATAATAAATATTTTTTTAAATTATTAAAAAAATTAATAATATATATAAATTAAGACTATCAAAGAGTATAAAGATTTACTCAATATTTTCCTCTAATAAGCCGTGAAAACCTGTGAATAATCCATTATTAAAATAATTAAATAAGATATCAGAACTAATTAATATATAATATAGAAATAAATAAGAAATTAAAAAATATTTTAATAAATTATATCTCTCATTAAAGGCTTTAATATTAGATAAAATAACTAGAATTTAATAATAATTTAATATGATATTTAATATAAAATTTAAAGAAAATATCACATATGATTTAAGAATTTCACATAGTAAATCTAATAAGAGTAAAACTCTCAAATTGATTAAATGAATAACTAAAGATTTAAAAAAAGAATAACTATCTAGCAGATGAAATAAATAATAATCTACTAGTATAATAGTATATTTAAGCTTTAAAAAAAAGTAATATAATAGTATAAAATAAACTCTATTTAAATTTCTCAACAGTGTAATACCACTGACTGAGATAATCAGTAATTGCAATTACCTAGTGACGATATAGCAATTAATTCTACAATTACTTTATAAATAATTATTCTATAAATATAAAAATTATCTAGTAACTATATTAAAAAAAAAAAAAATAAATAGAGTTTTTTTCAAAATTATTTTTTAAAAATTATATTAGTATTTCATTCAAATAGCTTATTTAGCTAGCAATTAAAAATCTATTTCATCTGTATCTAAATTAAAGTCATGATAATTAGTCTACTTATAAATTTAATAAATTTTTATTTTACTTTTTTTTTACTTTTAAAATAGCTACTTGAGAGCAATTATTTTTTTAAACTAAGAAATAATATTATAATATAGCTTTTTATATATAAATTAAATTGATTTACTCTACTATATTCTAAAAATTGATTTATTTCAATTTTTAATTATCTTTATATATATAATTAGTTATTTATTTTATATATTAATTCTCAGTTTAATATTTTTATGATAGTTTTTTAATTATATAGATAAATTGAAATTATTATTTTATATCATTTTGACTTTAATTGAGTCATGATATGAATCTATAAGAGGTTGAACTCCTAGATTTGCTCTGGCTGACTGACTCAGCCTAGCCATTGTTTGCATGTGCGCACGTGATTATGCTACATCAGCTTGCTTAAGCTTGTGTTCTCATCTCATTCTTTTCTTCCCTCTCTCAAGCAATTTGTCCTTGTTATATAGGAGGACTAGCCTCTAGTTCTTAGAGCTTAACTCTCTACATTATGAATTGCTTTACTTCTTTCATTGATAAGTTACTGAGAGCTTTAATTCTGTATCACAAAGCTCAGCAAACATGCTGACCTGCATCATGAAGTTCAGTAATAGCACTGATATATGAATAAACTGAGTTAGCAATTGTGCTAACAAACAAATAAGCAATATTGAAAATATCTAGCTGAATGAGATAAAGTGACAGACTTGTACAACAAATATACAAATGGATTAACATGAAGCAATAAGCAGAGACAATCTCAGCAGCTTTGAACAATAATAAATGATCTTTTTTTAACAGCAGGAACAGATTCAGTATAAGAACAGAGATTTAATAGCAGCTCAGCAAGCTGAAATAGCTAATCTACAACAAGCTTTAAACACCTCAACATCAACTCTCTCTCAATTGAACTTGCAATTATTCATTGCAGTTAGAAGATCAAAGATTAAGCTACTAAACTGTGAGAAGTATGATGATTTTAATCTGGAGCACTACTCTCAGTGAGAGCTAAAGCTTCAATTAAAACTTAAGATCAATGGGAAAGCTTTAAATAATAATGAGGAATGTGCTTGATATGTGTACTCAAGACTGAAAGGAATGACACCAGCTTGAGTTTACCTCTGAGTTGAGAGTAATAAGAATAAGATTAACTTCACAGTAGAGAGCTTACTAGAGTAGACATACATACTCTTTAGTGATTCTGTATGACAGAAAAAGGCTATACAAAAGCTCAATAATCTATGACAAAGTAGAAGAGCTCTCTTTGACTTTCTGCCTAAATTTAATCAGCTACTGCTAGAAGCTGGTGGTCATAAATGAGATGATTGCATTAAAAAAAGGTATTTAAAATCTGCCCTAAGCATGGAGTTGAGGGAAGGCATGGTGGGCATAAGAGAATCATCTTCTTATAAGAATTACTGTAAGGAGCTTAGATTAATTGATTATCAACTCTTTAAGCATAAGACTTTAAGGCAGTAATCTAAATATTGTGAGAACAGATCTTCTTCAGATCATACAATATCTAATTCACACTCTCTACTTTATCATGCTATTCTTGATTGACAAAACCAGTCTCAAGCTTCCACTAATGATCTGATGAATCTCTCTTCTGGTGCTATGACCCCAAGTGCCCACCACATCAAATTGGTAAATCAGACAAAGGTTAATCAACAAAGAGAGCAAGGCCTGTGCCTGAGATGTGAAGCTGAAGATCATATGATTAAGAGCTGCTTATTTAAACCTCTCAGACACTCTGCCACCTCCATAATAGTTAAAGTGACCTCTAAGCCAGTACTGGACAACAATAATATGGATATGAGCAAGGATTTGAGAAAAAAGTAGCTTCAATCAAAAGACACTGGAAGGAGTGAAATAAGAAGCTTATGAAGAAGCAATGAAGAAGATTTAAATCTAAGATGATATTCAAACCCTTCACTGTTGATGCTCTAGTAGATAATGCCTTTTCAACTAGAGTAATGATAGACAGTGAATGTAATATTTATGATCTTATTTCTCAATCCTATGTTAACAAGCATAAGCTCCTATGCATTGAAATTCCTTCTGTTAAAATGACTGGTTTTAAAGACTCCATGGGACTCTCTACAAGTATAGTGACTAGTATTCAAATTGATATAGATGATTATATAATTGAACAGGGCTTTCTCTACATAGTGAATGAATTATATGATCATAATATGTATTTAGGTGACCTCTGGCTGGCCTAGCAAAAGGTGACTGTAATCCCTCATTAAAGAATTGTGAGATTTGAAGAGAGTGGTATAGAGGTAGAGTTTAGTTCAAATGTAAAAGCTGACATGATTCTCATCTCTGCTATAAGCTTTTCTAGGCTTGTGAGCACTTGAGAGAAGCAAAACATCAAGATCTTCACTGTTAGTTTAACCAACATTCAAAAGACTGTAGAAGTGAAATCAAAGATTGACTCTAGAGAAAAGCTGCCTGAACATTATTATGAGTTTTTCAATATATTTGATAAGGAAGTCACTGACACTCTACCCCTACTTCATGACTCAGATAGAGATCATGGGATTGAACTAATTAAAAAGACTGATGGTAGCATAGAATAACCCCTTTGAGACTTATTATATAATATATCTTGAGAGGAACTACTGACTTTACAAAAGACTCTTACAGATTATCTAGATAAAGATTTTATTAGAGTGAGCAACTCTCCCACAGCTGCTTTCATACTATTTGTGAAAAAGCCTGGGGGTGGGCTAAGATTCTATGTGAACTATCAAGCTCTTAACAAAATCATCTGAAAGGATTGATATTCTCTATCATTAATCAGTGAAACTCTACAGTGAATTGAATAGGCTAAATAATTCACTAAGCTGGATATTATTGCAGCTTTTCACAAGATTCAAATCACAGAAGGTGATGAGTGGATGATGGTCTTTAGAACCAGATATGGGCTATTTGAGTGACTGATTACACTCTTTGATTTAGCTAATGCTCTAAGCACATTTCAAAAATATATTAACTGAGAATTATGTAAATATTTGAACAACTTCTGCTCAGTCTATTTAGATGACATCTTGATATTTTCCTCAAGAAGCTTATAGTAGCATCATGAGTATGTACAAAAGATGCTTATGCATCTATGAGAAGCAGGCCTGCAGACAGACATCAGAAAGAGTGAGTTTGAGGTGAACAGTACAAAATATCTTGAATTCATCATTGAAGTGAGCAATGGTATATAAATAGATCTGGAGAAGGTTAAAGCTGTTTTGAAATAAGTGACACCTACTACTCTTAAAGATGTATGAAGATTTTTAGGCTTTGCCAATTTCTATAGACAATTTATCAGGGATTTCTCAAAGATCACAACCCCACTGACAATTCTTATATGCAAAAATGTTCCTTTTTTGTAGATGAGCAAGGCTGAGAAAGCTTTTAAGCATCTAAAATCAATATTTATCTTTGTTCTAATCCTGCTTCAATTTGACTCTGACTGTTAGATTATATTAGAAACAGACTTCTCAGATTATGTCTTAGAAGAAGTGCTTCTACAATATAATGAGCAGAGCATTCTACACTCATATGCCTTCTTCTTTCACAAGCATTCACCTGCAGAATACAACTATGAGATTCATAATAAGAAGTTATTA